AAGGTATGAGACTGAGCTCAGCTCAGTCACCAACCACGGCAAAAGATAAAGAAGAGATGAGTGTCATCCCCTATGCTTCAGCCATAGGATCTATTATGTATGCCATGCTGTGTACCAGACCCGATGTAAACCTTGCCGTAAGTTTGGTAGCAAGATACCAAAGTAATCCCGGCAAGGAACACTGGACAGCGGTCAAGAATATCCTGAAGTACCTGAAAAGGACAAAGGACATGTTTCTCGTTTATGGAGGAGACGAAGAGCTCGTCGTAAAGGGTTACGTCGACGCTAGCTTCGACTCAGATCTGGATGACTCTAAGTCACAAACCGGATACGTGTATATGTTGAATGGTGGAGTAGTAAGCTGGTGCAGCTGCAAGCAGAGCGTCGTGGCGGGATCTACGTGTGAAGCGGAGTACATGGCAGCCTCGGAGGCAGCGCATGAAGCGATTTGGGTGAAGGAGTTCATCACCGACCTAGGAGTCATACCCAATGCGTCGGGGCCGATCAAACTCTTCTGTGACAACACTGGAGCTATTGCCCTCGCAAGGGAGCCCAGGTTTCACAAGAAGACCAGGCACATCAAGCGTCGTTTCAACTCCATCCGTGAAAATGTTCAAGATGGAGACATAGAGATTTGCAAAGTGCACACGGATCTGAATGTCGCAGATCCGCTGACTAAACCTCTCTCGCGTGCAAAACATGATCAACACCAGAACTCTATGGGTGTTCGATTCATCACAATGTAACTAGATTAGTGACTCTAGTGCAAGTGGGAGACTGTTGGAAATATGCCCTAGAGGCAATAATAAAAGTATTATTATATTTCATTGTTCATGATAATTGTCTTTTATTCATGCTATAACTGTATTATCCGGAAATCGTAATACACGTGTGAATACTTAGACCACACTATGTCCCTGGTAAGCCTCTACTTGACCAGCTCGTTGTGATCAACAGATAGTCATGGTTTCCTGACTATGGACATTGGATGTCGTTGATAACGGGATCACATCATTAGGAGAATGATGTGATGGACAGGACCCAATCCTAAGCATAGCATAAAAGATCGTGTAGTTCGTTTTGCTAGAGCTTTGCAAGTGTCAAGTATCTCTTCCTTCGACCATGAGATCGTGTAACTCCTGGATACCGTAAGAGTGCCTTGGGTGTATCAAAAGTCACAACGTAACTGGGTGACTATAAAGGTGCATTACAGGTATCTCCGAAAGTAGCTGTTGGGTTGACACGGATCGAGACTGGGATTTGTCACTCCGTATGACGGAGAGGTATCTCTGGGCCCACTCGGTAATGCATCATCATCTTGAGCTCAATGTGACCAAGGTGTTGGACACGGGATCATGCATTACGGTACGAGTAAAGTGACTTGCTGGTAACGAGACTGAACAAGGTATTGGGATACCGACGATCGAGTCTCGGGCAAGTAACGTACCGATTGACAAAGGGAATTGCATACAGGGTTTGATCGAATCCTCGACATAGTGGTTCATCCGATGACAACATCGAGGAGCATGTGGGAGCCATCATGGGTATCCAGATCCCGCTGATGGTTATTGACTAAGAGTGTCTCGGTCATGTCTGCATGTCTCCCGAACCCGTAGGGTCTACACACTTAAGGTTCGGTGACGCTAGGGTTATGAAGATATGTATATGCAGAAACCCGAATTTTGTTCGGAGTCCCGGATGAGATCCCGGACGTCACGAGGAGTTCCGGAATGGTCCGGAGGTAAAGAATTATATATAGGAAGTGCTATTTCGGGCATCGGGACAAGTTTCGGGGTTATCGGTATTGTACCGGGACCACCGGAAGGGTCCCGGGGGTCCACCGGGTGGGGCCACCTGTCCCGGGGGGCCACATGGGCTGTAGGGGGTGCGCCTTGGCCATCATGGGCCAAGGGCACCAGCCCCTATAGGCCCATGCGCCTAGGGTTTCCCCCTAGGAGGAGTCCTAGTGGTGGAAGGCACCCCTAGGTGCCTTGGGGGGGAGGGAAACCTCCCCTAGGCCGCCGCCCCCCTAGTAGATCTCATCTACTAGGGCCGGCGCCCCCCCTTGGCACCCCTATACATAGTGGGGGAGAGGAGGGACTTCATACACCAGCCCCTGGCACCTCCACCTCCCCCCGTTACGTCTCTCCCTCGTAGTCTCGGCGAAGCCCTGCTGCTGTGACGCCCTGCATCCACCACCACGCCGTCGTGCTGCTGGATCTTCATCAACCTCTCCTTCCCCCTTGCTGGATCAAGAAGGAGGAGACGTCTCCCGTCCCGTACGTGTGTTGAACGCGGAGGTGCCGTCCGTTCGGCGCTGGTCATCGGTGATTTGGATCACGTCGAGTACGACTACATCATCACCTTGCAAGCTTCCGCACGCGATCTACAAGTGGTATGTAGATGCAAACTCTCTCCCTAGACTCGTTGCTTAGATGAACTCATAGATGGATCTTGGTGAAACCGTAGGAAAAATTTTAATTTTCTGCAACGTTCCCCAACAGGGTAGGGGGTCCCGAACTGTGCGTCTAGGCCGGATGGTAACAGGAGGCAGGGAACACAATGTTTTACCCAGGTTCGGGCCCTCTTGATGAAGGTAAAGCCCTATGTCCTGCTTGATTAATATTGATGATATGGGTAGTACAAGAGTAGATCTACCACAAGATCAAGGAGGCTAAACCCTAGAAGCTAGCCTACGATATGATTGTTGTATATGGAGTTGATTGCCTATGGACTACAACCCTCCGGTTTATATAGACACCGGATAGGGTTAGGGTTACATAGAGTCGGTTACAATGGTAGGAGATCTTGAATATCCTCATCACCAAGCTTGCCTTCCACGGTAAGGAAAGTCCCATCCGGACACGGGAAGAAGTCTTCAATCTTGTATCTTCATAGTCCAGGAGTCCGGCTGAAGGTATAGTCCGGCTACCCGAACACCCCCTAATCCAGGACTCCCTCACAAACCAACGTCTAATTTCTACTCCACAATGCATTCCTTTAGGCAGAAATATGGTGAAGTGTCATGTAGTCGACGTTCACATGAGACCACTAAGGTTATCACAACAAACATACTATCAAAATATCGAACACATATCAAGTTCACATGATTACTTGCAACATGATTTGTCCCGTGACCTCAAGAACAAAAGTAACTACTCACAAATGATAGTCATGCTCAAGATGAGAGGGGTATTAAATAGCGTATTGGATCTGAACATATAATCTTTCACCAAATAAACCATATAGTAATCAACTACAAGATGTAATCAACACTACTAGTCACCCACAAGCACCAATCTATAGTTCCGGTAACAAGATTGAACACAAGAGATGAACTTGGGTTTGAGATGAGATGGTGCTGTTGAAGATGTTGATGGAGATTGCCCTCCCCAAGATGGGAGAGTTGTTGGTGTTGATGATGACAATGATTTCCCCCTCCAGGAGGGAAGTTCCCCCGGCGGAATTGCTGCGCCGGAGGTCAAACGTGCTCCTACCCAAGTTCCACCTCGAGACGGCGGCGCTCCGTCCCGAAAGTCCTCTACTTGTTTTTTCTAGGTCAAAATGACGTATATACCAGAAGATGGGCACCGGAGGTGGGCCTTGGTAAGCACAACCCACCAGGGCGCGCCTAGGCTCCCTGGCGCACACAGGTGGGTTGTGCCCACCTGGTGGGCCTCCTCTGGTACTTATTTGCTCCAATATTCATCATATATTCCATAAAAAATTCTCCATGAAGTTTCAGCCTATTTGGAGTTGTGCAGAATAGGTAGCCCAATGTAGCTTTTCCAGGACAAGATTTCCAGCTGCCGAAATTCTCCCTCTTTGTGTGTACCTTGAAAATTATGAGAGAAAAGGCATTAAAATTACTCCAAAAAGCATTATTATGTATAAAAACATCACAAATAATAGTACGAAAACATGATGCAAAATGGATGTATCACCGCCATTGATGCATTTTTCTTTGTCTACTGAATCTAGTGTGTTTCATTTGAAGTGCCCAAAGTGCAAGGACCCTACAGGTTTCTACTCCCTCGGCGAGACGCCACACTTGTTCCTTCTCATCCTAACATAGGATTTTAAAACACGCACAGTATGTTCCTAGAATCCTCTTTTCTATCCAGGAGGGTGGGGGTTTTTGAACATGCTGTCGAATAATTTGGAAATTTGGATTACTATATTTGGATAAAAGGTACTAGTACCATGGTCAACACTGACGTGAAGGAGGAAATTATTTCTAGATTTGGGTAGCGAATACATTGTGTTCTCATATTATTTTTTCCTGTAGTGCATTCCTTGCTCTGCCAGAACACATGTACTCAAGATGGTTGGCCTTGCCATAACCGAATACACCAGTTTAATGGTCACACTGAAGACAGGCCATGGATATAAGTTCCCGAGTTGGTTTCATGAACCAAGAAGATCGCTGTTTTTTTATGTCCGAACTTGGATAAACTTTCTCAAGTGTTACGGGCTGAAAGTTGGTGCACGAATGTTGATGGAAATAGCAGAACCTGGTCTCATCTTCACTGTGATCTTCCACCCCGACGCTGTTCCAGTAGTTTATCCATGTTAGTTTTGTATGTGGTTCTTGCTTGTTGCCTCGATTACTTCTTAATCCACCTATTCTGTCTAACTAATCACAACTTAACTTTAGAAGTAGCAAAGATTTTTGATTCCCTTCTCTCACGAAGATGCTACTTCTAACTAATTAAGAACAGTAAAACCGCACCTAATCCCTGCCCTCTCACGAATTAAGTGTTCTTGGTCATTTGATTTAGTCTGGTGGGCAATCCTGATCGTTTGATCATTCCTTGATGCCGTGTTTACCTCGAAATGGGCTACAAGCCGTAAGGGCAGCTACTCTGGTGACTTTTTTGGAGCCTTGTGGTTGATTGGGCCTCCATGCTCAGCCCAAGATCGCGAACGGACACAGGGCTCACATCTCTGTAATAAAAAGAAAAAAACACTTGAGAGAAGAACGGATCAGGGGAGAGAGGATGCAGCGGGCGCTGGATACAATCGACGTAGGCAACCTGCGGTGGGATCCACCCGAGGCGCGAGAGGATCCGGGGCCGGTCGATCTAGCCGCCAGGAGATCTGCCAGCAAGGTAGAAAGGGGGTAATGGCGCCTCATCTTTTGGAAACTGCTCCGCTCAGACTTCAAACACACAATTACACTTCAGCTTCTAATCACGCATAGACAGAGATTGATGAGGATGCAGTGCGCGGAGCAGCCGTTTCTACAGAACATTAATGCATTAATGGAGTGGGGTTGCGCCTCAAAACGGATGGTGGAGGTCAGGTACCTACATATGCTCTGTCCGGTCACCCAGGTTCTTCTCCCTTCTTCCTCCAGCAGTACTGCAGTAGCATCAAGAGCTACACTTCTCCACTATGTCGCCCCTCATCTTCAATTTTGATGCAGATTTCCCTTTCCCAATACAATCCCTTGGCACTTAATATATATACTCTGTTCGGGCTCCTGCTGATGCTGATTTCCGCTTTTAATTTGTTGCAGTTATTATCGCCCAAATGTTTGTGATTGCTTCTAGCTTATTGGTTCAACCAGGGTGTTTCTGGTGTTATTTTTGTTCCTGAATTCTAAAAGTGAGGATCCCAATGGCTGCTCAAAGGTTAGTTTAGTCGAATTTCATATTTTATTCCATAGTCAGTGTGTTCATATGATTGCTTACTTTTCATTTTTATCTGTTCGTAAATATTCATGACATGCTAATTTCCGCTATTATTTTCGCTATATATATGCATGATGCATCAGGTTGTTTAGGACGGTAGATCCTTAGACGCAAGCATAATCTTGTTGTACACAGTCTTAGTTTGTTCCTACATGAAAAATGACATATATAATGTCTATACAGTTCTTTGAAAGAAGAAAGGATTGTTGAATGTTTGGTGCTTCCAGTATGTGCCTGATTGTGGAGGAGATGTTGGAGATGGGGATGTGGCTTCTCCTACTTCAGAATGTAGTGTAATTAAACTGCTTCTTGCAGTTTATTCTGCAGTTTAGTCTTTTTTGGTTACTTCAGAATGTAGCGTAATTAAACGGCTTCTTGCATTCCAGTTAAGTAAAGTCTCTTTTGCACTCTATTTGCAATTTTCTCCTTTGGGGGTATTGGAATTATTTTTAGTATGATTGAATTGATTGTTAAGTGTGCAATGTATGTTAGTGATAGGTTTATAGCTGATTTTGTATTTTTCACAAAGTTGAGCAGAAAGCCTTTTGTTTCCAAGCCTACCCATCCTGACAACTTTTGAATGATCTGACCCTAAAGCAAGATTTGTACATAAATTGCTATGATGAGCCAACTAAAGATCCAACTCAAGTACCCTTCTTCCGAGGTTAAGGAGAGAACTGTCTTGATGAACCCTTTTTCACCGCACACCGGCCCCATTCAATCTTTTCTACTGGATCGAACCACTGCAGAAACTAGGTAAGAGGAATCAAAGAAATGTGAGTATAAGACATGATGTTAACATCATTTTCTATGAATTTTATTTCTTGTACTATTGTACCTAAACATTTCTCTCTTAATCTCTCCCTAATAATAATAATAATAATAATAATAATGTTAATAATAATAATAATAATAATAATTTTTATAAATAATAAAGCACAGATTGAGTCTCCGGGTTCACCGTCGCGATGTTTTTACGAAAGAGTCCAGGTTGTTTTAGGTAATAAACCCGCAGTACAATTTAAAGTTTGTGAATAGAGATAACGTTTCGTTCCAGCTTGGGCCTTTTCTAATGGGCCTGCAGAAAAACAATACGTATAGGACACAGGAGCACGGGCTCCTCAATGCGTACGGTAGCGCCGCCGCGCGCCCGTTCCTCTCTGGCGCCGCCGCCGCCGCTGCCACCGCCCTGCTCTCGTTCCCCTCCCTATCCATCTCAATCTTCTCCGGTGCCACCACGATCTTCAACCTCCTGCCGCCGTATGTCTCCGATTTGGATCGGAGTCCGTGTTCCCCCAGGATAAGTGCTGCAACACAAATCCATGGCGTGCCCGACCCAGATTTGAGAGTGACTTGGCTGCCATTAGAAGGAGCCCTCTACCGGAATCTCCATTAAATCGCATCATATCGCAACTTTTGAAGAGTCGTCCAGGATCGTCTCAGCCGAGTTCGCCGGAAGAAAATCCGCCGCCCAAGCGTACTACACCTGAGCCTGAAGAACATCCCCTGCCGAACATGCTACCCCAGAGGTATGTACTAGCTTTTGCCAAATTATTCTGTAAAATTTCCATCTACAATGTTAGAAAGTACTGCGCCTTTTTTCTGCAATCTTTGTATTTGTTCTGCTTGAAAAAATCTAGGACTGATCTGTCTGCCACTGTTCAGATCACATCTTCCTTTGCTAGAACACGTGAGCTGATTCCAACTTTGGCCTCAAGTTGCTCCCGTCGATGACAAGTGGTTAGTTTTATGGGGTTCACAATTGACTTTTTCAACTATAATACAATAGTCAGTGCATGAGACAGAGATAACTCATGTTGGATCGACATCTCCATATCAGATAGCTATATTCAGCGCAAGTTATTGATATATTTCTTCAACTACCTCTCATTTACGGCATGCTGATTTTCTCATGAACTGCTTGTTGCAAATATAGGGAGGAGTGGGAATGCGGTGTTCATGAAATTGAGTATCTCAGAAGAGGTTTGGCACTTATTTTCCTCAACCTGTTATTCTTCAAATGTGCTTCCCATGGATTTGATCAACTTGGTGAGATAATGTTATGTGTCAGGTATGGGCGTATGGCCATAAGATACTCATGAAACTTATTTTATTTTGCCTCACACAAGATGTATGTTGTTTAGACTCATGTACTGCCAGTACTGGTGGATTGATGATCTAAGGATCATATGAATGATTAATGGGGGATAATTTATATTCAGTTCTCCTCTCAATTTTGGTGTTGCCAAGCTTGATCTTTATCCATCTAACTGACTGAAAGTGCCTTCTAATCACTATTGAACGCATATGTTAGTTAGTTTGACTGTATACACCACACAAAAGGTAAAAAATTATCGAGAAACAAAAGGCACACCTAAAGGATTTTTTCTTAACAAAATGTATTAATTTGACTATTTGAGTATAAAAAATGTGCAATCGCAATCTTGCTTTTTTCAAGGAAAACAGGGGACTGCTACGTACTTGATATGGATCGAGGCTAATTATTGATCTCCCAAGTTAAAAATCTGAAAATAACTTTCATTTAGTAATGGATATATAGTCAAGAAAGGATGCCTTTCCCTAAAGATACAAAGCAAAATCGTGTTCATGTATGTCCGGCTGACAGATGAATCGATCTCCTTTCAAGTATCAACCCAACAACCTTCGTGTACGGGTCCATTGGCCTGCGTACCACACATCCCTTCATTAATTCCATCAGTATCATTCTTAACAAGGTAAGTATGATTCCCTAATCACTGATTTTATTAATTGATCTTTGATCCTTCATCCCTAATGTCGTTATACCTTATTGATTCTATAAAAGATCTCAAACAGGAACATACCATTTTTGAGGCTACAATTCCTATAACTTGCCTTGTCAATTTGATAAAATTATATGTGTGATGGAGGTTGTAACTTATAACAGTTTACATTGTCAGAATGATATTTGTGTCATCTCTAAACATATGTATATATTTGGTGTGCCGGATTTTCTGATGTAGATGATATATAAGAGGAAGCTATTCGACAATCCTGCTCAAGTTGGTACGGATCAGATCGATTTTATTCAGTAATATGCTTGATAGATACAAGCCTCCCTCTTCTGCCCTTCTTTTCTCCATCCTCTACAGGTCACCAACACATGTGAATCGTTCTCGTCAAGAGCATGCTTGTGACATCATTACTATATGTGATGCACGGCAAAAGGATGTTGTCAGAATGTAAAAACACATTTAACCATTTCCTGTTTTTTTTTCTTGCCCATTTTCGCCGTCATATACACTGCATCTCCCACTGTAACAGACAACCAAATCTGTTTTCTTAAAAGTTTTAATCATTTCTATTGCAGCTAAGTGTTCAAGTACAATCTCTAGCCAAGTTCTCTTTGTTGTTGTGTTGAATTTTGAGGAAAGGCGGCCAAGCAGCTCGTGGCATCTATGTCACGCCTGCTCTGCCACTGCCTTGACCCGCCGCCGACGTCGCCGGTTGAGCCGCAAGGTTGCAAGATCATCGTGGGGCCCATTGCATGGGCTCCGAGTATGCTTGATTGCCATGTCGGAGGCGAAGGTGCTAGAGCTTGGTGGCGTTTTTGCATTTGTGGATGCATGAATAATTGTCAAGGAGGCCGAAGCCAGCGCTATTATGGTTGGACTGAAGGAATTGTATAACGTATTCTGAGGCTCCTTGGTGGTGGAGATCGACTACGCAGTGGGGAAATGAGCTAGGGGCTGATTCTGTAAGCAGATCATTGTCGTGCCCAATTATTGTTGATATTAAATCTGCGCTGAGTATTTTTTAGGCATTATCACATCAGAACTGTCAAGAGGGACAAACAAGGGACTGGCTCATGAACTAGCCAATGACGCTAAAGCTCATGGAGACCTTGTGGTTGCGTATGGTGTCCCAGACCAACTCCATGATCAGCTCTGGAAGGAAAACAATGCAGCCTTGACGTCGGCCTAAATCTTGATGTAATCCTAAAAAAAGATATTGCTTGCAGATAGGTTATACATAAACATGCATGTTGTAGGTCTGTTAATTTTAATTTTGAATACTGAGATCTATTCATATGCTTTCCTTACTCTTATGGCTAAAAAAATCCAGCAGACAGTGACTGAAATTTGTTAGTTTTACTCAACTTGCTGCTGCTTGATCAGTACTCAATCAGGCTGAGGGTGACCATGATAGCTGGTGTTGAGTAGGTATATGCATTGAATTTTCCGTTGTGCCAAAACTAGCACATTAGAATCTTCCAATTTGGTGCTACCATATTTCAAAGTAAGAACACTATGATGCAAAGGAATCTTATTATGTAGCCATATGTAAGGGCATGTACAATGGTGGCATATGGATACATATGCCTCATGACAAAAAGTAATTTGAGGCATCTATATTAACTTTTTCTCTTCAATGTAAGCTATCACTAGTGGGCCTCATTAAGAAATAGAAAAATAAAGAGTCTATTACATATGCATCTCTACTTTTCACTCAACCTTTTCAGCTTTTGTCACCGGACCACACTTTTTCTGTTCAAGCACCCGCCTCCTAGAGAGGATCCCGCTTCCCTATCCGAACCTACTTTACGTCATATCCGATCCTACATGGCATGCGAGCCATCACCTTGAGGCTATGCATTGTACATGCCCTAATCTCAATTTGTTGTTATGTATAAACTATGATAGGAGTAGGCCCATATAGATGTGTATCCATTTTTTCCTTCTACTGATCTATGACAATGCGGATGTGCTGGACTAAGTTTCCGTTGCTATTGAAAAGCAAAGGAGTGGAACGCGCAATTTTTCAATCAGGGGAGGTTATCTTTCATATGGATTTTATTATTAATTTTTTAGATGTTTCATGTAACCATCAATTATGCTACTGGCAGTCCCTGTACATTATTTTTTATCTGCTCTAAAAAATTATCTTGGTTTATAAGCATCATACATTTTAATGTATAAGTTGTTACGGCATATCTCTCTCAAGGTAGTTTTGGTGATTGATGATAACATGTTTGCGGACTAATCTTGTGCGTTGAATTATTCACAGATTCTCTCCTGGCACGAGACGCTTTCTTCCCCTCGGAGTGTATTTCAAGACGGTGTAGCTCTTTTGTTTCTTTCTCGGTGGACTAGTTGCGTAGAGGGCACCGTACTATCAAGAGGGGGTCCGCCGGGGTTTTGCTTGGGTGGAATCATCACGTACACATCAGCTTCTCACCCTTCGAGCTTTTCCTGTCCATTGAAGAGATCTCTCCTCTCTTCCTTGTTCTGTCTAGGTCTAAGCGGCAGTACCACGCACCCAGCGGTAGTACCACTGAGAAGCCACAAGCGGCAGTACCGCTTCGCAGCGGTAGTACCACCGTGGCTCCACAGTAGTAGTACCGCTGGGGGCCTGGCACCTTCGCCTGGTCCTCAGCTTCCTTGAGAGATCCCTTCTCCCTCTCTTGCGCCCCAGCGGTAGTACCGCACTGCCTGCGGTACTACGGTCGATGGGTCACAAGCGGCAGTACCGCTCCACAGTGGTACTACCGCCCTTGACCCCTCTGTCGTAGTACCGCTTGGTAGTTTAGCTCCTACCGCCTCGATTCGAGAGGTCTTTTTCTCGTGTCGGGTTTTGCGGCACTAGTCACGGTTGTAGTGGCGGTAGTACCGTTCCAGGAGCGGTAGTACCGCCCTACCACCGCAGTAGTACCGCATTTGGGTTCGTTCTCTACTAAGTCTCCTCAGCGCGACAGTACCGCTGGTTGGCGCGGCAGTACCGTCGCCTGGCGGTAGTACCGCCCCCTCTCAGCGGTAGTACCGCCCTGTGCGGGGCTGGTTGGTGGGAGGCAACGGGATTGTTGCCCCCACTATAAAAGGGAGTCCCCTTCCTCCTTCTCACCTACCTCTTCCTCCTCCAAGCTTCATTTATTGCTCAAGCTCCATTAAATACTCCACTAGCTTGGCTAGCTCTTCTCCCATAGCCTGTCTCTTGGGTTCGGAAAAACGCCGAAGGGCTTGTTTGACAGGTTTGAATCCTTTTAGGATATTTAAGCTATGTTCGGCCAGCCTGTGTGGGATCCCTGGCATGTCTGAAGGGTGCCAGGCGAAAATGTCCCAGTTCTCTCGTAGGAACTCTCGCAGTGCGGCGTCTACATCAGGGTTCAGCCGTGCTCCGATGGAAGCTGTTTTATTGGGGTCCGTTGGATGGACCTGGAATTTGACTATTTCGTCAGCTGGCTTGAAGGATGTGGATTTGGATCTCTTATCGAGTATCACATCATCCCTGTTAACCGTGGAGCGCAGCGCAGTCAGTTCTTCGGCTGCTAAGGCTTCGAATAGTGCTTCAAGGGCTAATGCGGCCGTCTTGTTTTCAGCGCGGAGTGCTACGTCCGGATCACTAGCTAGAGTGATAATTCCGTTCGGCCCGGGCATCTTAAGCTTCATGTACCCCTAATGGGGTATTGCTTGGAAGATTGTGAATGCTTCCCGTCCCAGTAAAGCGTGATGTCCGCTCTTAAACGGGGCCACCTGAAACGTGACTTCTTCGGACATGTAATTATCCGGCGTGCCAAACACCACATCTAGTGTGATTTTTCCTGTGCAGCGCACTTCCTGACTGGGGATTATTCCTCTAAAGGTTGTGCTGTTTCGCTTGATGCGGTTCCAGTCTATTTCCATTTTTTGAAGGGTTTCCTCATAAATGAGATTCAGTCTGCTGCCTCCATCCATGAGCACCTTGGTGAGGCGAAAGCCGTCCACTATGGGACTAAGGACCAATGCGGCTGGTGCTCGGGCTGTTCGGAATTTAGGTTCATCACTTGCGTTGAAGGTAATAGTAGTGTCGCTCCATGGATTTATTGTTGCAACTTGATAGACTTCGGCGAGGCTGCGGAGTGTTCTTTTTCGCACATTGTTTGATGCGAAAGTCTCGAAGACTGTGAAAACGGTACTGGTGTCCTCGGGCCGGCTTTCTGCGGCCTCCAGGATTAAGAGGTCCTCGCCAATTTTGGCCACCTGCCGGAGTATCCAACATGCTCTGAGGCTGTGAGTTGGTGTGGCGTCCTCTGTACTGTGAATTCTACAGGGTCCATCAAGCCACCTTTCCAGTACGGTTCCATGCCCTGTAGAGGGTTTTGGCTTTTTGGTGTTTATCCTGGGTGTCCTATGATGATGCACCCTCTTAGTTCAGACGGGATTACTATTCAAGGCCGGATTATCCCAAAATTTTATTTTGGTTTTCCAGGCGCTTTCCATCGCACAGTATTATTGTACTATGGATGCCAAGTCAGCGAAGCGTGTAATATCACGACGACTTACGGCGTTAAGGATTCCCTCGTCTGTGCAATTACTGCAGAAAATTGAGATCGCGTCTCCCTCGCGGCAATTCTTTATCCTGTTCATAACCAGGAGGAATCTGGCCCAGTAATGATGTACTGTTTCCTCGGGCCTCTGCCTGATTTGGGAGAGATCGCTTATGTTCGGGTGGGCGGGTGTCGTTGAATATGAAACCTCACCCAATCCAAGATTCGGAGGCCGAAGAGTTTCCGAACTCTGAAGTTTGGATTCTTGGATGTTGTCCAATGAATCTATCCCGTTGCCTGGTCCTAAGCTCATGTCTTGAGTTACATCCTTCTCTCCGCGGGTATCCGGCTTGGAGGGGTCGGGAATTCGGACGTAGCTAGTCCTTAAAATAGATGAAGGGTCGCCGCACTGCGCCTCTACCACGGCAACGTCGTGGGTGACTTGGGGAGAGTTAATTTCTCTTAGATCGGGTTTAAGCCCAACCAGGTCGTAATCCGTGGCGACCCCCAGGGCGGCGATGCGATCCAAGAGCTCGTTTACGGAGGAGAGCTCCACTGGATCTAGCTGCTCGACGAGATCCGAGCTGACGTGTAGGTTGCTTTTGATGACCCGAGAGGTCACCGTCGGCGCAACAGCCGAACAGGCGGTCATGAGGAAACCACCTAGCCAGAGGGTTTGGCCGACATCCAAGGTACCCTTAGCGACGGCGCCGTCTTTAAAGACGGGAGAAGGCATCCTTCCTGATTGTGACGGCACAGAGGAACTCTCAATGAAAGCACCAATGTCGGTGTCAAAACCGGCGGATCTCGGGTAGGGTGTCCCGAACTATGCGTCTAGGCCGGATGGTAACAGGAGACAGGAAACACTTTGTTTTACCTAGGTTCGGGCCCTCTCGATGGAGGTAATACCCTACTCCTGCTTGATTAATATTGATGATATGGGTAGTACAAGAGTAGATCTACCACGAGATCAAGGAGGCTAAACCCTAGAAGCTAGCCTATGGTATGATTGTTGTGTATGGAGTTGATTCCCTACGGACTACAACCCTCCGGTTTATATAGACACCGGATAGGGTTAAGGTTACACAGAATCGGTTACAATGGTAGGAGATCTTGAATATCCGCATCGTCAAGCTTGCCTTCCACGCCAAGGAAAGTCCCATCCGGACACGGGACGAAGTCTTCAATCTTGTATCTTCATAGTCCAGGAGTCCGGCTGAAGGTATAGTCCGGCTACCCGAACACCCCCTAATCCAGGACTCCCTCACTCCTTCTTCTAGTGGCAAGAATGGCACCGGCCTCTTTGCCCATGTGGAACCACCACTTGTTTATGGTGGACCGGTTCCCTCCACTCATTTGAATCATGCCGGTCCTCCCCCTAAGATTGTGAAAAATGAGGATTTTGATTCTTGGGTTTACCGCTTTAAACGTCATTTAAATCATGTGAACACTAACCTTTGGAGAATCATTGAAGAAGGTTTCTATCCACATGATCCAAGCAACTTCACTCCTCGAGAAGCCGCGGACAATCAATTCAATGAGAATGCTCTCTTCATCATTCAAGATGCAATTCCACCCGAAGACCTACCTCATCTTCGTCCCTTCGCCTTGGCCAAAGATGCATGGCATTGTGTCGTGTCTCTCTACCGGGGAAGTGCAAGCATTCAACGCTCCAACTATG